TTCACCTTGTAAGGGCATAGTGAGAAGGTAATAGTCTGAAAGCCAGAATGAGAGCACTGAGCAGGAAATGAATAGGCTAATATCTTGATCTTGGATTTTGCAGGCTCTAGAAAAGTGACAAAATACATTTCTGTTGTTTAAGCCACTCAGAATATGGAATTTTGTTATGGCAGCTCAAGCAGACTAATACAACCATGTAATCCTTATATGACTCTAATTATTATCCAAAAATCTATATATATATAAAAGTCTAAGCACCCAGCTGACTGGTCAGTAGCTATGACGCACACTGACCACTAGGGGGCAGATGCTTAATGCAGCAGCTGCTGAGCTGTGGTCCCTTGGCAGCAGCGGTTCTTGAGTGACGCAGTTGGAACCAGAGAGGAGGGAGCCCGATTCTGGGGTGTGTCACCCGAGAACCGCCCTCTCGCAATCTGGGACCCCTCGGGGGGATGTTAGAGAGCCAGTTTCGGCCCCATCTCTGCAGGCCAGGCTGAGGGACCTCACCAGTGCACAAACTGCTAGTTATATATAAAGAAACTGAGAATTAAGAAGGTACAGTTCAATGAAAAACATAATGGTGAATCTCACACAAGAAATCAATCCAAATCAAAATGATGCAATATTTTCCATCTCCATTAGGTTTGCAATGCCTAAAATGTTTAATATGGAGTACTAGAAGCCCGATGCATGAAATTCGTGCAAGGGGCTTAGTCCATGCAGCCACGGCTTCGTCTGGAAGGTTGTTCGGCTGTCTGGTCTAATTAGCATATTATGCTTTTATTATTATAGATAGGCAACCTAATGAGGAAAAAGGTGAACTGTAGATGGGACTGTTAATTACTGTAATACTTCTCAAAGGCAATTTGAAAATATACATCAAATTTCAAAATGTACCTGGTCCTGATGAGGTGTCAGAGCCCAAGCAGAGCTTGGAGGGGTAGCATTCCTGTGGAGGAGTAGCACTGCATGGTTGTTATGTCAGAGCCTGAACAGGGTGAAGAAGTCATCCAATACTGGAGTGAGGAGGGGAGAGGGTGGCCTGACATAGAATGTTGATACCCAAGTGGCATGAGGAGGGGACCTCTATGTGCAGGGGACAACAAAGATTGGTTAGGGAGGAGGATGACCAAATAGACAATATATTTATGATAATGAAAGCCAGGTATCTCACTGTTGGGAAAGGTATTATGAATAAGGAAAGGGGAAAAAAAAACCCTGTGAGAATAAACCCTGTGACAAACAGCTATTGGAGATCTCTGTGTGAAATCATAATTTTATACAAACACATACACTATAGATGTAAAAGTGTATATATGTATACACACACTTGTATACTTCCTAGCTCCTACTGAGATGGTCCCAAAAGCAATTAGCATAACTGGAGTTAAGATACTGCCTTCTAAATATCATTCTCCAATATAAGGAATGTACCTTGGAGAAACAGCTGATTCCAGGACTGGAGCAGGGAAAGTATAAGATTAGCTTGGAATACCTTGTTGTGCCAGAAGGTATTGTAAGTATTACACAAAGATTGATGGTGACATGTCAAAAGGTCAAAGATAGCTTGAAGGGCTTCCCAATGTTCAAATATGGGACAATTTGAGGATGAAAGTAAATAATAGTAATAAATTGTAACCCACTGACTGAGAATCCATGAATCTGTACTGATAATAAATAAGCAAATGAACAAACTGAAAGTTTGATGATGAATGGAATACTTTATTTACATGGTTTCAAAATCCCTCTTCACAAAATACCAGATAATTATGAAGGGAAAATTAGTAATCTAACAATGGAAAACTCTCTCAGACACCACCTTAATAAAGTGATAAAAATGAACATCATCAGCAATGGAACAAATGAAAATCATGTTCTCCCTGACAAGATGCAATAAGAACACAGCATCATGACTTTGATATTCCTGACAATGTGCAGAACCTGAATCTAATCATGTGGACACATGAAAAAAGTCAAAGTTAAGGTACATGCTATAAAATAACTGGCCTATAATCTTCAAAAGTGTAAAAATCATGAAAGTTGAAGACAAACTGAGAACTACTCTAGACTGAAGAAGACTAAAGAGACATGACAACTGAATGTAGTGATCCATGATTCTAAATCAAGACATTTTTGAGACAATTAGAGAAACCTAAAGATGATTTGTGGATGATAGTAATGTATTAGTGTATTAATTTCCAAGTTTGATGGTTGTACTATGAGAATCTCTTTTTAGGAAATTCAAATTAGAATACACAAGGGTGATGGGCATCAGGTTGGCAACTTACTCTCAAATGCTTTAGGGCAGTGGTCGGCAAACTCATTAGTCAACAGAGCCAAATATCAACAGTACAATGATTGAAATTTCTTTTGAGAGCCAACTTTTTTAAACTTAAACTACATAGGTAGGTACATTGTTATTAACTTAATTAGGGTACTCCTAAGGCTTAGGAAGAGCCACACTCAAGGGGCCAAAGAGCCGTATGTGGCTCACGAGCCGCAGTTTGCCGACCATGGGTTTAGGGGAAAAAAGAATGCACTTTCAATTACTCTCTAAGTTTGCAATTATTTAAAAGTAAAAAATTATATTAAAAAATATAAATGCACCTGTCAATTTGATCTTGCAAAGTCTTCTCTAAGAGTTTATCTGATAAACACAAAAGCTAAATAGATTACTTAATATGCATACAAGGGACTAGTAGTGCACAACTATTAAAAAGCATAAGGTAAAGTTTTACATTAATGTGTAAACACGTGCCTAAGAAATAAAACATAAAAATCAAGTAGAAGAAATGTTATATATAATATAGTCCTCTGTGTGTATTTAAAAAATATAAACACACACAAAATTATATACATATGTATATATAAATTCTGGACGAATACTTAGTTTTGTTACTTATTGGAGTTTTTCTTAGTAAATATCTGGTTTCACCTCTAAGCTAATTTTGTATCCAGAAAAATCTTACTAACTCAAATTAACATGTAAGAAAAACTGAATTATAAACCAAAGAAGAAACATACAGAAACCTGAACAAAACAATTTCAAATGTTTTTTGTCATTCTAAATGGAAAGTTTCCTGAATGAAGTAGGTTCTACACATTCAAACCTGAAGACCACAAATATTCTGTAAGGTGACCAATAAATGGTGAATTACTTAATACTAATAAACCAGTCTATTGTGAAGGCCTTTTTCTTCACAAAAAAATATTCTTTGCTTTTCCTTTTTAATGAGATTTTCTACTATGTAACTACAAACATTTTGAACAAATTGCTGCTCACATCATAAACATAGAACAGGAACAAACTACTAGTACATATTCTGCAAAAGCTGGTAAGATGAAAGTTGCTGAGAAAAATCATGTATATCATCAGGTACACAATTATCTCTAGATCCTTTTTAAGGAGTCAATTTTCAGCTACTTATTTTAAATACAGATTCATTCATTCAACAAGCATTTATTGACCATCTAAAAAGTACCAGGCACTTTGAAAAATGTTAAGATTAAGCATGGTTTGACTAACCACTTAATGGCAAGCTTTTTAAATCTCTGAGCTTCAGGACTGTGGTGATAATTAGACTAATTTAAATAAAGTACCTAATACTGCACCTTGTATATGATAAACAATGAATAAATGCTATTTCAAAATATGAAATTTAAGTAAGAAATGGGATCCTGCTCTCAATAAGCCAGTTTTCTACTGCATAGCTCAAACTGGAGGATTATGAACCAACTTGAAAGTGAGGTAAAGAAAACATGTCTGACGATAAAGCTACTATCAAAACAGAAGACAAACAATCCCCACAATGTAAAATGAATCCCAGAATTGAGAAGAAATGTACTCGGGCTAGTTTATGAATTTGTGTAGCCTGCACACTAATGTCTTTCTTCTTCCATTAAAAAACAACTGAGTGCACTATATATACAAAGAACAAGTGTTCCAGCTGTGTGGTTTTATGATTTAATAGAATCACGATGGGTATAACTTAGGCCAATTTTAGTGACGCAAATAACGGCTTAATGTAACAAGTTTGTACACCATTAACCACAATTCTTTCTACCACCTTCAGAAAGACTACCCCCAACAATAACCTCCTTTTCTTATGAGACAAATACCTATCCTAACTATAACATTTAGCCAATAAAGTAAATAATTTTTGGGGAAAAAATCTAAGTAGCCACAACGATCTAACAGACAGACAGAACCAAATCTACCAAATAAACAGCTAAAGGGGTTAAGAACGCTGGTGTCAAAGGGGCCAGCTGTCCACCAATTCTTGCCAGTTATGCGACCACGGGAAGTTTCTCAACTGTTCCAAGCTTCAGTGTCTCTCTGAAAAACTGTAAATATCAGTACCTTCTGGCTAGATTTGTGAAATTAGAGTCTAGGTAACCATGAAACTAATAAAAATACAGAATTTTAGGGCCCTAAAAAAACCCTTAAACTTAGATTAGTTCAAAGTAATCAAAGATGAGTGAGGAACACAAGTAACACAATAACGTGTATGAAGCACTAACACCTGACCCCCCCCCCCCCCCCCATCCTACCTAACATTCATTCAGACTTCACCTGTAACGTCCCAAAAGTCAGCAGCACTGGCCTAACCAGAAACAACAACTCTGGGAGTGGGGGGTGTAAAGGCAAAGGAGGGCTGCTCAACCAAAGAAAATAAAGGGAAAAGAGGTGGGGTCACGAACGAGGTAGCCGGCTGACGAGAAGGACCAACCGTCCCGGACACCGGCGCGGGGGCCCAGGGTCACCATGGCTCCTCCCAACGAGGAAGCAGAAGGCATTCAGCCTCCTCGGCGAGCCCACGGACGCGCCGAGCCCGGAGCCGGGTGCACGGGGAGTCGCCCCCGCGGGGCCTCCAGCGCCGGCCGCAGGGTCCAAACTTCCCGCGGGCGCCTCTAGGCCCGGCCCTCGCTGCCGCGCTTCCTCCAACCCGAAGCCTGAGTCACCGTCCGCGAGGCCCAGAGGCCGAGGCCCCGCCGCTCACCTTCCGCAGGGAATTCCTCGAACTCGTCGTCCTCCTCCAGGAGACCCAAGTCTACCGGCTGCTTCTTCTCGGACATCGCGACCCTCCGCGCCCCAACCCCCTGAGGCCAGCAGGAAAGTTGGACCCACTCGCCTCACCACGGCTGCCACCGCTGCCGCCGCCGCCGCCGCCGAGCGCGCTCTACCATAGAGACGCGGGGGAAGAGCGAGAGGGGCGGCGCGAGGAATGCTGGGATACTGGAGGTCGGCCCCGCGCCTCCTGCGGGTTTAGCCAGCCTTCAGTTAGAAAGGTTGCTTAGGTTGGATCTGTTGTACCTCTGCGGCCTTATCGCGAGTCTCTGAATTGACAAACTGGATGTCAGGGTAGGTTTCCGCGATTAGAAAAGACTCATATTGTGTAAAAATAAATTCAAACCTGAGGGGTGAGGCGTCCGCCAAGATTCATGAAGGGCCTGCTAAATGCTAGGCCCTTAGGCTAGGTTAGCTCAGTCCTTAAACCAATTCGCTGAGCATGGCATTAAATATATGCACACCCCAGAATATTCAGGTTTGCAAACGGCCAAAGGCATTCAGGTAGTGTTAGTCAACCCAAATGCAGATTTGTTCACCTGACTTCAATCTCCACATTTTCCCATTCGGTGTTCCTCCATCTTGTAGTTACAATGTGGTGAATACCCGATTAATAGGGAGTGTGTGTAATAACTACTTTACAGGTTATTACAAAATAATGCTACGTAAAAGCGAGATGCATAATATCCTATGGCGTTTAAAACATGTCATTTTGAATTTTTAAAATATCTAATATTTGGAATGTAGTGATCTACCTAAAACTATCTCATCTATATGTGATACTATAGTTGAACATTGCGTAATATAATTAAATGTACATTAATTATTGTACATTTTGTTACATGTGTTTGTTTATGTGTTGAAATCCCATTTCTTCAACAGCATCCCATAAATTTTATACCATGAACCAGGGACTGACTGTGCTGGAACATCAAAGGTATAGACGAGGTCCTTGCCCTCAAGTAGCTCATAGTCCACTCAGAGACATGGACACAGATGGGTCCCAATGACACAATAATACATTTGAATCTCTATTTTCAATTAAAATTTCCTAAGAAGTGGACAAAGTGCATGAGTGTATGGAGGAGAATGGAGCAACTAAATAGAGCACGTATTTGGATCAGAGTTTGGGAACCTACAATTAGATGTAACTTTCAAAAAAATAAGATTACCCTTCATAATACTATTTTGATTTGATTATTGAAAACATTGACAGTCTTCAAATTAAGTTCCAAGTATATGTAATTTGGTATGCTACACAAGTAAGTACCAAATTAATGAAAGAAGGGAGACTATGAGGAAAACCTAAAGTTGGTAATGAATGTAGACAGTAGAAATGCAGAAAGCATGTAGTATATTTCTTCATATGCAGAAAGTAGTAGTATATTCTTCACATGCAGAAAGTACGTAGTATATTCTTCACATGCAGAAAGTAGTAGTATATTCTTCATATGCAGAAAGTATGTAGTATATTCTTCATATTAAAGTCCATTTAATTGCAGCATTTGCTAACTTTGATGAGCTCTCGTAAGAGATTTATACGCTCTAGCATGCCTTCTGTCACACATATTACATATTGCACTAGAACCACACACCAAGTTGAAGCTTGGGGCAGGCAGTTTGATTTTGACGTCAAAGAATAAAAAACAAATCACATATCTGAGCAGTCATCTTATGCAGAGATAAAAGATTTGCCCAAGGACAAGTTTATAGAGACAGAAAGATTAACGGCTGCAAGGAGATGGAACTAACTGCTAATATGATGATGATTAAGGATAGTAATGGCAGATAGTGATGATGGTTGCAAAACAAGGAATAAACTGAACACCACTAAAATGTACACTTCAAAATGGTGAATTGTATGTTATTTGAAGTATATTTTAATATTTAAGATGCTATTAAAAATTAGTCCAAGGAGTCAAGAATCCCAAATTCTACTTCCTGGGCCTATTATTTGATTTATTAATTCTTAGCAAAAGAAAAAAGCAATAGCAATATAGTGATTTTATTCCCTGAAACTGAATGTATTCCATTTAAAGGAATAATTGAGAAACTACCTTATGTTTAGTCTCCATTTATTTTATTTTATTAATTCATTAAATACAAAATGCTGGAACCACTGACTGGATAACCTCTCATTTTAGCCATTGTGGCACATGGTTAAAATGAGCATCTTCTCATTTTCATGGTTATGGCACAGGGAAGAACTTTGAGAAATGATAGCCATTAGTGTATGAGGCACTGAAGGCATTATTGCTTCATTACATTGAGCATATAAGAATACATATTTGATGGACCAGGCTATAAATCCATGCTGAATTCCTACCAAAGAGGGATTTTAGGCAAATTACTTAACTTCTCTAAAGTATATTTTGGTTACTTGCAGAGTTATAGTAAAAATTAAATGAGATTATCTGATGAACTTAGTGTAATGTGATCAATACATGTTAGTTATTATCTATCTCAGATCTTCCATACCAATCCTAAAAATCTCTAAATGTGGATTTTGTTTCTTAGATGACATCTTGGTGATACTTTGTGAGGAAGTCAGTCCCTCCACAAGTTAATAATAATATAAATAACAGTAGCCAACATGTATTTAGTGCTTACTTTGTATCAGGCACTATGCCACACCCTTTCTGTGTATTTACTTATTGAATCCTCCTCACAGTGAGTACTTAAAATTTAAATTTATTTTATATTTGAGAGAAGTAAGTGCTAAGGCATGGTGGAGCTATTATATCCTAAGGGCTTTGTTAAAGATAGGAAACAAACCATCTCATTGTGTGGAAAGGCAGACAGTTCACACACAAATCTCTAGAATCATTTCTTTCTAACACTTTTAAAGGTATACACATGTGGGAAAATGGCAAAACATAAATGTAGACAGAAGTGCAAAGGGCAAACAGGTAGAATAAAGGAGAAAATAAAACCTTGGGGTTGACGTAGTTCTCCATGGCTAGGAACCATCCACGATTCTAGCGAGAAGCATTGGAGTGAAAACTATGCCTTTACCTTCATATCAGATCATGTCTGTAATTGGTGGATTATATTTAACTTCAAAGGAAATCAGATCAGTAGCAGATTTTATAGTAGATGATTCCATTTGTCTCAGGCAAATCTTTTTCTTTCTAGAAGTTGCATTTGGGATCCACATGGTATTAGTTACATCACAAATACATACCCGAATCTTTGTTTGCTATGGAGTAACTATTCCATAACCAGGCAGGATGGATCCCACGCGATTGACATTTCTGTATCCGTTTCTATCCAGGAAGAAATGGTGAGGGGCTGTTTAATGGCCGATATCTGGAGAAAGGACCAATTTCAAAGGCATCTTCATTTTGACTTCGGGAGGACACAGGTAATTAGCCAGCCATGAAAAACTGAGAACGCAAACCTATGATGTCCTTTCAGGAAAGATGAAAAGCTTAGGCTCCAAAGTTACTCAGAGTAGAATCATCTACTTGAGTGACTTTGGTTGTGCAACTTATGTCCTTCTGTGACCAGGTTATTTTATTTAGCATAATGTTCTCCAGGTTCATCCATGTTGTTGACTAGCACAGAATTGGCTTCTTTTAAAAGGCTGAGTAATATTCCATTGTATGTATAGACCACATTTTCTTTGTCCTTCACCTGTCAATGGACATTTAGGTTGTTTTCATGTCTTGGTTATTGTAAATAATGATGCAATGAACATGGGAGCCCAGATATCTTTTCAAGATCCTGATTTCAATTCTTTTGGATAAATGCCCAGAAGGGATTGCTGGATGACATAGTCATTCTGGTTGTACTTTTTGAGACACTTTCATGATATTTTCCATACTGGCTACACTATTTTACATTGTCACCAACAGTATATAAGAGTTACATATTCTCCACATCCTTACCAATACATGTTACCTTTTAGGGTTTTGTTACATTTTGGTTTTGGTTGTTTGTTTTATAATACCCATTCTGATAGATATGAGGTGATATCTCATGGTGGTTTTGATTCACATTTCCCTGGTGATTCATGATATTGAGTATCTTTCACACACTTGTTAGACATTTGTATGTCTTATTGGGAGAAATCTCTAGTTCTTTGCCCACTTTCTAATTGGGCTATTTGTTTTTTGCTATTGAGTTATAGGATTTCCTTATATATTTTGGAGATTAGCCTCTTATCAGTTATGTATAGTTTATTTTTCTCCCATTCTATATGTTGCCTTTTCACTCTGTTGATTATTTATTTTGCTGTGTAGAATTCTTTAGTTTGATGTGTTCCATTTGTCTTTCTTTTGCTTTTGTTGCTTGTACTTTTGGTGTCATACTCAAGAAATCAATGCCTAGACCAATGTTATGAAGCTTTTCCCTACGTTTCTTCTAGGAGTGACTTTAGGTACTATGCCTAAATTTTTAGCTTCAGGTCCTATACCTAAATTTTTAATCTATTTTGTGTTTATTTTATTTTTAAACATTTTATTGATTTCAGAGAGAGGAAGGGAGAGAGAGTGAGAGAAACATTGATGAGAGAGAAACATCAGTCTGCTGCCTACTGCATGCCCCCTACTAGGGATTGAGCGAAACCGGCAAACTGGACATGTGCACTGACTGTGAATTGAACCAGTGACCTCTTGGTGCATGGGTTGATGCTCAACCACTGAGCCACACCTGACTGGACTATATTTTTTAAATCCTCACCCAAGAATATATTTAGAGAGAGAGAGAGAGAGAGAGAAACATTGATCAGTTGCCTCCCAATCACATGCCCTGACCAGGGAACAAACTCACAACATAGGTATGTACCTTGACCAAGAATTGAACCCACAACCTTCTGGTGTACAGGATGATGTTCCAACTAACAGTGCCATATGGCCAAGGTTGTGTGTGTGTGTTTAATATATGTGTGATATATGTTTAATGTGTGGTGTGTTTAATATATGTGTGATATATGTTTAATGGTTTGGCTTATAGGGGAGTGATAAAAATAAAATAAAACATAAAAAGTATTTTTAAAAAACATAAAACTTGAAAATATGTCACCTTTGATATAAGGAGATATTTTTCATTCTCTTGTCTCAAAATGATTTAACATTGTTTATGGATTCG